TTCCTCCCTGTTTTCACTGTTATTCTTCCATCTCTTCCTTCACTTCACGTCCCCCTCCATAACGAGGTAATCCTTGGTATTTAAACAAGGACGTCAGTGATTTTCTCCTCCAAAGAAAATTTAGAAAAGCAAAATGCAGGGATTCCCATCAAGACCATCCGTTTTCGCTTTAATGCCTCCTCATACGTTGAAAAATTGCCTTCTCATATGAGTCAAATGCGTTAATCAATGCATTTAAAAGTGGCAATTAATTTTTTGTGGCAAATTTTGGGAAGTAACGGCGAGGAAATTTGTTCAAATAATTGAACGTTTGGTAAAACCAAAAGATATCTGTTGTTTTTTTTTTGAATGAAAAAATGATTTTGCCTCAGAATTGAGGTCTATTTTTATTTTCTTTTAATTCTGAACTGACAGTTATGAGTCATTTTTGGGCAGCACGAAAAAAGAAGACACATTTCTCAAAATGAGTTTAAAAGAGATTTATTTCAAATCTCTGGACCAACAAGATGAGTTTATTCTCTCCAAATTACATTTCCCTAGCTTTAATATTTCTGGCGTTGAGAATTTTTGAAATTTTGCCCGAATGAAGACTGTTTTTTCACTTTTTTTCCTCTTAGTGAAAATAATATAATCAATTTTAGCATTCCTGGAAATAAATCTTAACTTTCCATGGTGAGGTTGGAAAAAAGTGACTTCACTTCTCTGGATATCGAAATCAGAAGTTTCTCGCACAAAGTTTCAGCTTTCTAGCTTCTTGTAATTCTGGAAGTGAATTATCGTAGACTGACGGAGGGTCTTGGATGTAAAAAGATGCGTGCTTGCTAAAATAACTTTTTCGATTTATTCAAAAAATGCTCAACAAAAAAAGCACCTTTTTAGCTCGGAACCATTGCGATCCCGATAGCGCACATGATATTTGCATTCCGGTTCCGGAAATTTACCAATTGGAAGATTAATAACATCGCCATCCAGGATATCATAATTCTCGTAGCTACTAACTAGACCTAATGTTGCGGTGCCGGAAAGAAGAAGTAATAGTCGGACCGGAAACAGTTTAGCCAAAAATGTTGTATCGGCTGAATCGGTCATTTTACTGGTCATTTTCCCGCATTCGTCCAGTAAAAACGAGTTTTTTTTTTTCGTTTTCTCTATGCTTACTCCCTCAACACTCGCACTTCCTGGATGTACTCGAGCTACTGAAGATGAGGTGCTGCTGCCGTTGGATTGTTTGCTACTGCTCCAACCACTATAACTACATCAATAAGCGCAATCCAGGCAACAGCTTCCACATTCTCGATTGGCAGAGAGAGAGCGACAACGACGGGGGCGACAATGACAACTACCGCAAAGTCTGGTTCCAAGTGATCATCGTCCGGGCCCCTCCCTCGCTGTCGCCGGCAATACTACTACTACTCTGGTGCCTCCTTGCGTTTCCCGAAACAAATCGTTTGTTTCCCACCCTCTCCCCCAGTTCCTCCCTACACGCTGTCTGTCCTCCAAAATTGAATTCAAATTTCGCCCGAACATCGTTGTCGAAGAGTCACGTTACCCCCCACAACCCCCTCCAGTTACTGGCTGTTGAAGCAGCTGCATGTGGCATGCCCCTCGGCGCTGCATGTTTTTTAACTCATTTTTGCCGTTAATCGCATTGTTCCTGCACTGGACAAGCACCACTCAAGCGTACTGTCCATTGCTCTGGAATTCCAAGCAAACACTCGGTTATGAAAATGGTATCCAGGTAATTTTTTTTTGTACTTCCGGAAAAATTCTTTTTTTTTCTCGAAAAAATGAAAATTGCAAATTATGTAATTGACACTTCTTTTTTAAAATTTACCATTATGATCAAAGGTGAGGATTAATCTAAATATCTAAAATTTCCGTATACATTTATTATCCTCAACCTCTTGAGAAGAAGCACGGTCCATCACCCCAATCTTTTTTTTTAAATTTAATATTAGGTTCGAAGATAAAAGTTAATGTAAATACCACAGAAAATTCCCTAAGAAAAGGCACGGTCCACGACTCCAAATCGTCTCCAACCAGAACACACGAATGACCGCACCGCGGCTGTAGCGCAGTTGCGCATCCTGTAATTTTACTAGAATAGCATATTTATGCAATACCTGCACAAAATCTGAGTTTGTCGAATTTTATACGCTTTCAGTGAGTAAGTAATATATAAATATAAGATAAAAATGGTAGAAGCTGAATTTTTGCTGTAGAATAGGTTCAAATGCAGGTATTATGCAAATATGTTGTTTGTAATTTGTAAATGTTTGACGAAAACCGTATATTATCAGAAATTTGGGCAATAACAATACATCTAACGAATAAAACTTATGTGCTGAAGTTTCTGTGCATCATATGTTTGACGATGGTACTAGAGCAGACCCATTTTAACAATTCTTTGCCAGCCGTCGTATCACAGTAGGAGGCAATACTGTTGCCTCGCAGCAGGTAGAGGGTTCGGCTTCTCCAAGTGGCACCACAACCAGCTCCTCTATGATTCGATTACTCCCTTATTTGTCGGGCAAAATTGCTGACGGGCTTTTTATTTGCTGAACAACATTATTGTCATGAATTACTTTTTTTTCATTTGTTGAGCAAAATTATTGATGCAAATTATTTCTTTCTCCTTGTTTGATGAGCAAAATTGTTGCAAATCAAATCATTTTTCCTTTATTCGTTTGGCAAGACTGATACTCGTTATTTTTCGAGCAAAATTTTTGTTGTAAATTATTTTTTTCCCCATTCGCTATGCAAAATTCTTGCTTGCTTTTTTTATACGTAAAGAAAAACCGCTGTCGAGCATCATATTTTGCTGAACAAATAATCTTTTAAACTGTGATTACGCTGCATTATTAGCACAAGTTCGACTCTGTTATCCTTGCTTGGGGATAAATTGCCTCATATGTTTATATGTTTATACATCAAAGCGCCTTAAACATCCGGCATCGATCTTT